ATTATATTGTAGATGGTATTAATTTGCCTATCCCATTTCAGATGTTGGTCTAATGTAACTCCAAGTAAAATGGCGGATGTAATCTCCTTAACATTATTGTTATTGACTTCAATGGTTATTGGACTAAGATCAGGGAATGATTGGGAATATATTTTCATTATTTTTGTCTTGCCAGGATTAAGAGACATTTTGTTATGGTTAGTCCAACGGGACACTGAGGTCATATCTGACTTTAGAGAGACACTAAGTTCGTGAAGGTCCGATCCTGAGGATATTAGTGTAGAGTCATCGGCAAATAAAAAAGGCTTAGAACTTCCAACGTAACTGGGTAAATCGTTAATAAAGATAAGAAACTATAAGAAAACTATCGTGATATTGCTTCGCATGTGTACATAGCTTTAATAAAAATCCTAAAAAATTCCTTCAATTCCTAGAAAATATAGTTTTTAAAAGAATTAGAACTATTTCCTGAATTAAATACAAATTTAATACGATATATTGGTTAAGCCTTGGTGTTACGGTCATCAATATACCATTCTAACTTTTATACATCGTAATCTAGCCTATACTTATACTGGTAATCTAGTACTCCTTGGTAAACTAGTAATTAATCCTTGATAATCTAGTCAATCCTTGGTAAGTTAGTTATAAAAGCCTTGGTAAGTTAGTAATCCTTGGTAAACTATTAATCATTGGTAAGTTATTAAGGCCCGGTTTAGACGCCGAACTTTTCATGCGCCGAATCTAATTGTCGTAGATACGGCAAAATATTGGAAACTGATTTAGACGTCGAACTTAATTGTGCCGTACCAAATTGCGAGGACACTATATTGGACATATTTACAATGCAAATATATGATAAATCATGTTATGATGTTAAAAAATAATTATGCATTAGGTTCGGCGCATGAAAAGCACGGCGTCTAAATCAATGTCGAACCTGTGTCGCATATACGACTTGTCTTGTCGCATCTTCGAGTCGTGTCGAACTTAATCAAAATCTGCCGAACTTAATTGATTTAGACGCCGCTCCAGCGTCGCACTTAAACATTACATTAGATTCGGCGCATGAAAAGTTCGCCGTCTAAACCGGGCCTAAGCCTTGGTAATCTAGTACTCCTTGGAGTAAACTAGTAATTAATCCTACAGTTGATAATCTAGTAATCCTTGGTAATCTAGTAATCATTGGTAAGTTAGTAATCATTGGTAAGTTAGTAAGCCTTGGTAAGTTAGTAAGCCACTGAACAATGAAATTGCAGGCTTTGCTTGCGCTGTGTGCCCACGGCATACTATGCTTTGATATGCTTTGATATTAATTAAAATTGAAAAATGTGGTCATTGTTTTTATTGCATTTATCGCGATATTATCGAATATGGTGTTAATTTCCACGACAATCGTGAGATGATTTTTTTAATATCGCCCAACCCTAGTAATAAACAAAGAAAAAACAATTCTTAGTCTGTCGTACACTGATTGTCCCCATGCTCATATTATAACTCGGGTACAAGAGCATGATTCGGCCTTGGGGTAAGACTAGCTGAAGGAGCTAAATATTTGTCTATATTCCGAACAATTTGATCGAATTTTCTTGGATAGAAACAGTAGACGTATAAATATGAACTGTAATTTTCATTATGCTCAGGGCCGTACGCAGGATTTTTTCACCAGGGGGGGGGGCAGTAAGGCCTATATGCCGAAAAAAGTCCCAAAAACCCAAAGAATAAGCAATGTCATTCTAAAAATCATAAATATAGTTTTCTCGGGGGGGATTACCCCGCTGTGCACGGCCCTGATTATGTTAATTTATAATTGCCCATCTTTGTCTTCAAAATTGATGTCATTGCTTAATAACTACAGTATTGGTTTGTTTTAGTATGCGGTATGGGCCAGCATGTCAATTTCAGATAGTTTTGACATGCATGCACTAGAAAAAACAATGATGTGTTGAAATATTTTTTAAAATTACAAAAAGAAACGTTCTAATAACTGTCAATTAAGTATTTTATCGTTCTAAAACTGTCAACTGATGATTCCCCTTATTACGTTTTCGTAGCGCTTTACATTGTCGTTATAGTGGTATCACTGATAAAGATAGCGGCCTCGAATGAAAATATTGAATGTTTTCGCGAATATTTTTCTGTTGGCTATCGCGCCCTGACCCTAGCTTTTTTTAAAAGTTCTTGCACGGGTCAGGATAAAAAATAAGCCATCTTGAATATCAGTGATACCACCATAACCACAATGCAAAGCGCTACGAAAACGTAATAAGGGGAATCTAGTATTGAGCACTATCTGATAGTGCTTGGTGAACTTCAGCTATACTGTTTCTGTCATATCGTTACATAAGCATCCAAAAAGTTGTTTTCTTACCAATACATCCGGAAGGTCTGGCTGTGTAGCCCGGAGCACATTGACATCGGAAGCTACCAGGTGTGTTGAAACACGCAGCGTTATTTCCACATGGGTTGGTCAAACATTCATTAATATCTAATAAAACAAAACACCAACAATCAGTTAAAGCACGAAAGATGTGGTATAATGGCTTTTGTAATATTTGCGATTAGCTGTAATATATTCAGTGTTGCTTGTATAAGTTAAATTTCATAAATATGACTCTCTCGGTAAATATACTGTCTTAACATCGTAAGTGAACATTGAATTCAAATTATATAATATTGATCCTTCGACATTTCTCACGTCTAAACAAGTTACCAAAAATGATTGCATGCAGCTCTATGAATTAAGTTGTCAAAATCAACCGTCAAATGTAACGCGAAAGAATATGATGCAAATTATTGAATCCAATACTCAGTAGTTGAGCAATCTAGTAAGCAAGCACGCAAGTGAGGGTGTTATAATCATCCTTACTAAACAGGGTCATATCCAGGGGCAACCCTCGATTTGGGGTAGTGCGTTAATCGACACTTTTTCACATAAGAGTCCGCATGAGCGAGAACTCACAATGTCAGAGGTGAAAGGCGCTTGTTCTGAGAATTGCGCCACCGAAGCTCCTGCATGTTCATTATTGAATCAAACCCAGTCTTACCAACACAGTAAGTTCCATTTCCAGAGTAGCCTGTATTGCAAGTACAGAAGAAGTTTCCAGGAGTATTCGTACAAGCAGCCTGTGAGTGACAGGGACTTGTCAGACATTCGTTGATATCTGCATAAAGAATAAAAGTGTGTCAGAGAAATAGAAACCTCGTATTCATTAATGTGGAATTCTCGGAATTGAAATATTAATTCCGTTGAGTTGTTCTTCGTAGCCAAACTTAAAAATAGAGGAGGAAACATTCTTTCCTTTCGTGCAAATCTCATATTTCTACGCTAGTAGTAAACAAACAGACCATTATATTACTTTTTGTAAAATAAATTAAAAAATCCTATGAACGGGTTAAAACTTGTCTACATGAGCGTGTGTGAATCTTTTCAAGAGCAGCGATGTTCTTAATTATCCCAAAGTTATGGTCTATGTGCCAAGTTAACTAAAAAGGTCAGATGTTATCCGATTTGTACCATTACGAGTAACATTTATCACTTATTTACTGAGACCGAGGGAAACAGTGTGTTTTGTGGACCCGAGACCGTCGATGTTTCCCGAGGCGAAGCCGAGGGAAACATCGACGGTCAAGGGTCCACAAAACACACTGCTTTCCCGAGGTCTCAGTAAATAAGTGTTTTATTATATATCAATAGTCAAAGAAACAACAAATTAAAGAACAAATGAACGTAAATTCATGAAATATTTTATTATTAAAACGTTATATTAAACACTGGCTACACTGCAGTTACTTAAAGCGAAAGTTTTAATTACGTATACTAGGCATGTCCAAAGGTCGCATCTTCACGTGATGGCGCACGTGATTTTTTTTGTTATTCGCCGGTCGATAACGTATTATCTCCCTCTCGCGCTGTTGCGAGGGAGACAGCCTAATTTCGTCACTCTCACGTGATATGCTCTCAACCAATAAAACACTAGAAAAATGCGACTTTGACTATTGATATATAATAATTCAGCTTATTTACTTCCTCTTTACGACTTTATTGACAACACAACTATAATCTCTCCTCCGCTGAGAAGTTATCTCAATGTTTCCGTCACCCCTCTCGTGCTCACTCGCTCTTTCGAAACATCATGCAATAGAAGATATATAATTTATTCCACTAACCAATACACGCGAGACCACTCCCAGAATACCCAGGATCACAGACACAGAAGAATGAACCAGCTGTATTGGTACATTGCGCGTTGGTATGACATGGTGAAAGGAGACATTCATTAATATCTAGATATAATTTTTAGAAAAATTGAAGATTAGTAAGGGGGTAAATGAATGCTACTCTGTAAAAACAAATTGGTTAATCAACCAATATATTGGTTATCTCAGATTTAGTTGGAGTCTGGGATAACCAATTTATTGTTTGTTTCAATCAATTTGTTTTTACAGTATATCATCCTTTCCTACAGTTGAGAGCAGAATTACGAAGGAGTCAAAGGCTTACTAGGGCGACTGCTGCCATGATACAATCCATCACGGAGCACAGTTAAGGTGGAAGATTAGTTTAGTGGTGCGTGAAGGAGGGACACCGTACACGAAGCAGAAGAGACATCAATTTGTTTTTACAGTATATCATCCTTTCCTACAGTTGAGAGCTGAATTACGAAGGAGTCAAAGGTTTACTAGGACGACTCCTGCTATGATACAATCCATCACGGAGCACAGTTAAGGTGGAAGATTAGTTTAGTGATGCGTGAAGGAGTCAAAGGTTTACTAGGGTGACTCCTGCTATGATACCATCCATCACGGAGCACAGTTAAGGTGGAAGATTAGTTTAGTGATGCGTGAAGGAGTCAAAGGCTTACTAGGGCGACTCCTGCTATGATACCATCCATTACGGAGCACAGTTAAGGTGGTGGTGCGTGAAGGAGGGACACCGTACACGTAGCAGAAGAGACATCAATAATTAAAAGTGTACCTACAGCAGCAGGCTTACCGCCGCCGTAAGAGGCGCGCCAACTCTGGGTTAGTTATTTGTCCGTATAGATATTATAAGATTATTTCATTGTTCTCTTATACTGACCTACGCAATTCGTTCCGTTGCCTGTGTAGCCAGTGTTGCAAGCACATACGTATGATCCGTGTGTATTAGTACATGTTGCTTGAGCGTGACAGATGTTTGGTTGTAAACATTCGTTGATGTCTAGAACAGAACAACGGTTTCAGTAAATTTTCCAACACATGATCAAAAATTAAGGGGACTTTCCTAACAGCCCAATAGGAAATGTCCCGACATCCTAATGGCCCTTAGAGAAGAAAGAAAATACAATAAATTTACCACAACATATTAAAATGTTTAACAATTTAAGTAGTGAGTGAAACGGTAGTTGTATTGGTCACAAAGCAGAGTATAACAAATATATTCTGTTAAAAACCTAAAAATATGGACAAGGACAATTCTGTCAAATCCTTTGTGAAGAGATTTACTTGTAAGTAGGTTTCAGATTACTTCGACGATTGATTTCTATTAAGCCATGGGAAAGGGAAAGTTACCAAAGCTTAAAATTAGAAAAAGCAGACGTTAATATACCTGAGTCATTACCAGTTGAGTGTAAGTACTAAGTGTCCCAAAGTGATTTCACAAAGTCTTACGTCAGTGTTGGGTTAGGATTGCAATTTAGAGGAACTAACATACCATTACACTGGAAGCCATCTCCAGAAAATCCTGTCTTACAAGCACAGTTGAAACTACCAGCGGTATTGGTGCAAATACCATTGACGTGGCATGGATCAGCCAAACATTCATCGATGTCTAGTAAGAAAATGAAATATTTAGTAAAAGCATCTTGCTAATGTGGCTACAATAGTAATCACAAGGAACGTTTGGCGAAACTGTACATCCTGTTCTTTTAATAATATTTTCTTAAAAGCTACTCAACTAATTACACGGGTGCAATCAATTACACATCATGGGCCGTGAAACACCTATTTCAAACTGTGTATCAAAAACATAACAAAAACTAATAAAAATGCTCCTATATTTTCCAGAAAAAAGTGGAGACATGGTGCTTACCAGGTCCTCATTCTTTATATCTCTTTCTATATATTTGATCAATATACTAAGTAACTTCCAGACAAAGAGGCTTCGCTCAGAACGTCGAAATTCGCTTCAGGTATTTTTGAGGTAGTGGCATCATGTTCAAAGTTCGCAGTTTGTATTCTTCACTATATATACACTTACCTACCTGGACAAGAAGACATGTGAAAAACTTACCAACGCAGGTTTTTCCATTTCCAGTGTATCCTGGGTTACAGGTACAAATGTAACTTCCAATGGTGTTTGTACATGTCCCTGATGGTGCATCTGCGCAGTCATCCGTGTTTGTAGTACATTCGTCAATATCTAAATATCAACCAAAGGCAGAAGATGTAGGTCTGGGTAGATAAGTCTTAACTTTGTTCCACGTCGTTCCACCGACTTTATATTTTCAAAAGAAATGTGTGAACTCATTCTGGAAAATACAGAGTTGGCTTATTTCGCGAAGCTCTGCCTTTAACTATCAAAGTTTTTTCAAAAGAAAGTAAATGTCGAGTTTTCCAGAAAAAACTAATCATTTTATATATCGCCATGTAAACGTAAGCTATTGCACTCACTCACTGTAAAACATGATTAAATAGGAAATATGTAAGTACAACCATTTAAATCATTTGCTCAGAATAATCTGGTCAAATTTAACGAGTCCACATCAGATCTCATTGAATAGGATATCTCTCAGATATCTGACCAAGAAATTATCTCATTGCCATAAAAAGTCTCATTTATCGGAGTGCATACATACCATTACAATTAAATCCATCTCCAGTGAACCCAACATTACAGGCACACTGGAAGGATCCTGGTACATTGGTACAGGTGGCAAAGACATGACATGGGCTTGCTGCGCATTCATTGATATCTATGTAGCACATAAGATAATATTTTAAAATACATAATACACAACAATATAAACGGTAACATTTTATAACAAGTAACATATAAACAAGCTGCCTAATATTGAAGTAATTATGGCATTATATACCTGCGCACTGCAGTCCATTTCCTCTGTAACCATCGTTGCAAGTACAATAAAATGCGCCGATTGTATTGGTACACGAAGCATCGGTGTGACATGGGTTTGTCAAACATTCGTCAATATCTAGGAAATTAAAAATACAATTCAAAATTTAAGCCTTGCTTTCGCAATACGTTTGCTCTTATTTTCGTTTTGGTTCTTACTGTTGTGCGTTGTGTTGTGTTGTGTTGTGTTGTGTTGTATTGCGTTGCGTTGTGTTCTGTTCTGTTCTGTCCTGTTCAGCTCGGTGGTTTAACTCTTTTGTTCTGCTATGTTCTCTTAATTATGTTCAGTTAGGTTATTTATGTTATTCTACGTAACAGTACCAGCGCAGGACTGTCCATTTCCACTAAAACCAGATTTGCAATAACATCTGTGGCTTCCATCTCTATTTTCGCATGTAGCGTTCACGTGACAAGGATTATCTTGGCATTCATCCCTATCTACATTGAAGAAAAGTTGAATTATAAATCATTCAAGAACTGCAATATTTCATATAACTAAGATCCAGTTACAGTTTTCGTATAGTATTATTTTAAGAGAAAGACCTATACAAAAATTTGCCATACCTAAATATAATAGTCATACAAACCTGCGCAGTTAATACCATCGCCGACATAACCTTCACGACAAACACACTCAAACGATCCGTCCGTGTTTGTACAATTAGCGTTCGTGTGACAAGCAGTACCAGTAAGACATTCGTTGATGTCTAAAATAAATATACGCAGACAAAAAGTTAATCCGCACTTTAAAACTAATTTCCTGTCATCTACATGTAAATTCATGGTGGATGCAATTATATGGTCTTCGACTATTACTAGGATTATCAACTAAAGCTCAACTAGTAACCCATCTGTACTATTGGAGAGGCCACTGCAACAGGGCAAATGACCTGCAGATACTCTTCGACATCTTATAAACTGCCCCGCCTGAATAGATCGTTCTCCTACTCTGATACTTTCACCTTGTAGAGACACCGAGTTCATCTTTGAGGAACTACCAAGTCTACCACCTGCTATGGTTATTATAAACAGCAGTGGCTGATGCGTCTTAACTCGGCAGTAATCCATGCATGACGGGGTTTTTCCTGACCTCACGAGGGTATAAACACTGCGTTCCAGGTGACCGCAAAGTTTGAATGTTTCCAAATTTTATTAAAGAATTGATTACCTAAACAAATGCTCTTTTATTCATCCAGTCATATTATAGATAACATTAAAATTCTAAAGAGGTTTCACCTCTTCCCTGTGGATACGCATGAGAAACGTTGAACTGGAGCCGCTGTACTTACCTGCACACTGTACTCCATTTCCTGTATATCCAACGTTACATTGACACTGATATGATCCTGGGATGTTCAAACAGTTAGCGTTTTGATGGCAATTATTCAATGCTGGATTAGCACATTCGTCAATGTCTGAAAATATAAACATATACATTGGTTCATATAGATTTGACACTACACCGAAGGTTAATAAGGCTGCATCTATTATTCTTATACAACGTGTTTTGTTATTGGTTTAAGCCGATGGCAAAGAAAGATTCTAGGATGGTCAGAAAATGTTTGTAAATTAAGGTTGCGTAGGCTCTCAAAGCAATGAAAAATATCTGTTGGATTTGGCAAGGTGCAGAATTTGGAATTAGAAAAATAATTGGCAACCGTCGCAACTCAGGTAAAACCAAATAAGTGTGCATCATAAATAAGTACCAAACTTACCAGTACATAAAAATCCTGAGCCCGAATAACCCGAATTGCACTGGCATAGGAAAGATCCAACAGTATTTGTACATTGAGCATTAGCATGACATGGATCACCGTTACATTCATTGATATCTGAGAATAAAAACAAACACAATAAGACAGAATAATGACACAGTTTATGAGGGCAACAAAATGTTTTAGGGAACCTTTCTGTTTTGTCTGTTCTTGCATCTTCGGCGGTCTCGAAACACGAAGGTGCGAATCCTGCTCAAGGCAACGAATTTTTCGTTGTACTCTGCAGTTTCAGAATAATATTAACCAATGTTACAGACCACAAAATCTCGCGTCCGTAACTATCTACATTCGTTTGAAACATGTCACTTTCTCTTTACATCAAAATACGTTTCAATGTAAAAATGTTTTCTTTAACATCACCAAATGGTTCAATGTTTTTAATAAATCCTTTTTCTATCACTGTATATGTACGACAATAAATCTGGCAAGAACAACAACCAATTAGCTTTAGATCTAGAAATCCTTGAAAGCCGCTACTGTCTTAACTCGTCTTCGACCATCTTAAATTGCCTTAAATATCTTAAGTCGCCTTAAATCGTAACGACGTTGGTGGAAGTTTTAAATCACCTTAAGTCATCTGCAAATCGCCTAAACTCGCCTTAAATCGGTTTATCTCACAGATAGTTAAGACAAATTTACCCTACGAGCAGAGCCTGGCATGTTACCATGTCAGGATGGACTATTCAAACTTACCAACACAATTGAAACCATTTCCGGAATAACCCACTGTACATGCACATATAAAGCTTCCGGGAGTATTTTGACATACAGCATTAGCATGACATGGATTAGTCAGGCATTCATTAACATCTGAAAAATAGATACCACAGAATGATGTCAGCATTTATTTACTTAAACCACGTAGAGTAACAAGCAAAAAGCATATTAAACGTGGTTGCAATGAACGAATAGATATTAAGATTTGAACGATTGTTCTTCTCACAGAATAGTTGGAAAACTTGCACATTTTATTGTAGAAGATTATAGAATATTGTTAAATCGATCATATATAAGTAAACTTATCACAAGTGACGAATTAAACATATATAGGCAGTCAACAGAAATGGTAACTTCTACTCAAGTGTCCAGCAATTTTGTAGAATAGCTCGCCTCGTTAGTTTGCAATGCACAAGCAAGTAATTGTAATAGAGTCATAAGAGCAGTCTTCATGGGGATGTGAGCTTATGGACTTCTGAATAAAATTGTCGAGTTATATCAGTTCAAATAAAACTATCTAAAAACAATCAAAATTTGTTATCAAACATTTTGTAGTCATAACGAGGCACTTACCTACACAGGCAAAACCGTCCCCAGTGTAGCCAGTTTTACACTGGCAAGTGAAAGATCCAACCGTGTCGGTGCAGTTTGCGTTTGTGTGGCAAGGAGAGGATACTACGCATTCGTTGATGTCTAAAATATTTATAGAAATATATCATAATAAGTATCATAATAGAAGCAGATTATTATAAGAAATCCTGCTTAGCGGGCTTGTTCTCGTATATCGGAAGTTATTGGTTACAGAACATTATTTGCTTTGGACTGAATTGCAATAACCCGGCGGTTTCATCCCAGAACTACTTTTGATGACTATCGCCCGTGAGTCGTTAAGTAAAATATTAACGGAATACGTACTTTGACAGTTAAAGCCATTCCCCGAGAATCCTGTTCTACATGCACAACCGAAAGAACCTTTGGTGTTGGTGCAGATACCATTGGGAGAACATGGGTTTGTCAAACATTCATTAATATCTAAAAACAATATAATCATAAATCAGATTTAGCTACAATGTGTGTAGTTGTGCAATTAATGTCCACATGCATTCGGTATTTATAACCTGCCCTGACATTATTTCCTCCCCCCCCCCCTCGCTCGCCTCAATGTAACACTCTGGTGAGTAATAATTAAACATTTGATGTTGGAGCAAAACACAGACGAAATCAAAATACACGTTTGTTTCTAATATCATACACTCGAAGTGTTTAAGATAGTAATTTTTAATTAAAAAAGTGAAGTTGGCTTGATGTAATTTCTTCTCTCATTTTTCGCTGTTTCAAATCACTCTAATAAACTGCAATGCATTTCATGGAAAATCTCCATGCACAGTACTTCGCAAACAGCAAATAAAAATGAGACAGTTCGTTCATTTTTGTTCTCAAACTAAGCAGATTATTTCCGTGTCTTTCCACATTACAAGACAGCAGTGGATTGAGAGAGATACAATTCGCTGGAAAATGTAGGCAGACTTCGACGTTTCAAGCGAAGGCCCTTCGTCGGGAAGTTAGAAATTAGATTAGAAATTTATTATCTTTCCCACAGAGGAACTTTTCAAAGATAATTACAAAAGAAATGCAATAATTTACATAAATATAAATATATATATATATATATATATATATATATATATATATATATATATATATATATATATATATATATATATATATATATATATATATATATACAGGAATATAAGTACCTAATTACTATTTTATAGACATACACATTACTATAATGAGTTTAAAGGTTTAAAAGTTTAAATAGCTAAGAAGTCGCTGAGAAGTTTGTTTCGAAGGCTTCTCTTAAAACTTACAACATTTGGACAAAGTTTAAACTTAGACTCCAGAGAGTTCCACAAGCTTACAGTTCTATAATAAAAAGTCCTTTGGCCAGTGGCACTTTTAAATAGTGGAATGTTCAATTTCTGTGAACTTCTCGTGGATCGCTGGCTAATGTCTCCACGCTTTACAAATTGTTCGGATAAATAATCTGGAGCACAACCAGTCATGCATTTAAATGTGGCGTTTCTCAAATACAACTCGCTAGCTACTGGCAGCCATTTCAATTCCTTTAGTGCTGGTGTGACATGGTCAAATTTCCTTATACCACAAACTATTCTGCAATAGGGTTTATTTAGGGTTTCGATAGGGTTTATTTAAATGGCAAAGGACCTTGGCGTGACTCTGGATGTTAATTTAACCTACAACCACCATATTAATAAGACCGTCTCCACGTGTATGTCCATACTGGGTCAAATTAATCGTGTGAAGCATGCCTTCGACAAATGTACTCTGATTACTATCATGAACAGTTTGGTTTTCAGCAGACTTTATTATTGTTCCAATGTATGGAGTAACACCTCAAAGTGTAACATCGAGAAACTGCAGTTAATTCAGAATTTCGCTTGCAGAATAGTTTGTGGTATAAGGAAATTTGACCATGTCACACCAGCACTAAAGGAATTGAAATGGCTGATAAAAGTTGATAAAAGTTATTAGATGTTAGCAACTTTCAGAAGAAGTGCCTTCGCACGAAATGTCGAAGTTTTGCTAATATTGTTTTCAGGAAGTTGTATCTCAATACGCAGTTGTCATGTTATCGTCGTTTCCTACACTGGCACAGACCTTCGAGATTATTTCCATGTTACCATCTAGTAATGACGTCATAAGTTGTATGGTATTGACGTTAGGAGTATGGTTTGGATTGTAATTTGAGTTTGCATAAAAACGATGGTAACATGGAACCCAATCCGGAAAACTAGACAAGAGTGAATCCAAAAGAATGTTTACTACTTACCAATGCAACTTGTTCTACCATCGCCAGTATGGCCAGCATTACAAGCACATGTGAATGAACCCGGAGTATTTGTACACGTGGCGTCCACGTGGCAGGAGTTGGATAACACGCATTCGTTAATATCTAAAAAACATAGATTATTTGTCAACCGCAATAACGATAGAAATAATGTAGTTATTGAATCGTGCTTTTAAAGTTTGGACAACGTACTACAGCGAAATCTTTTTGCACTATCCAGCCTATTTACGGATCAGTGGGTACATTACCTAAGCAGGTCCTGCCATCACCAGTGTAACCCGTGTTACATGTACATTGATATGAGCCAGGAGTATCGGTACATGTATCAAATTGACTGCAACCATGGGTTCCAAGCTGACACTCGTCAATGTCTGAAAAACACAATAAATCAGACTTTGGTTTTAAGAGTATATATACACATTAAAGTAGCATAAACAGGATGCTATTATTCTATTATTCATATACTATAATCCTGGACAAAAATCTGCGACACTTGCAATTAATTGACAAAATTTCGTAATATTATCGTAAATTTAGAAAAACCTCCCCCTTAACCCCACCATTCAATGTTGATTGCATTCGCAGAATACGGTCAAAAGTCACAGGTTGTTTTGGGGGGCGGAGGGGGCAAAGGAGTAAATTATTCCGGTCTAAGGGACCGGTCATTATTTATGGAAGGGGGGGAGGGAAAAATGAGGGGCGGCCATATGTATAAATAAATGACTAGAAGGGGGGGGGGTGCAATTAAATTTGAAGGAATTTGCTCAATAAGCATGGTATCCATTTGGTTGTAATTGCTTGACTAAATCATGGTCACTGATGTGAAATAATCTGGATTTATCTTGTCTTCTGAGTGCTGTATGCAAATCAGTCTTTACTGATTGCAGAGATAAATGGACAATGTATTATTTCATGAGATATCTTGACGTGGTTAAATACATTTAGGCAAGGTTAACGGCGAATGTATTATGCAGGCCACATCCACTGAGGGGAGTCTGTGACGTGCGCCTTGTGATCAGTGCTTCAGTCTGGGTATTCATTCTGCCATTGTATGCTTTGCCTAGCTGCACCAAGTTTAGCGCTTAGATACCTTTTCCCTACCCACCCACCCATGTTTATTCTGGAGGATTTTATCTGGTAGTATGTCATTTTATTTTATATAATTTTTAATCTCACATAAAATAGGATGTATAGACCACTATACACAGACCTGCCAAGGTTCCCGCATTTCGCGTGAAAGTTATCCATTCTGCTTTTATTCCCGCTGTCCCGCACGCATAACTAAAATGATCTTAAAGTTACGCATTTTTACCATTATATGATGCTATCCCACTTTTTGTACAATAACTCATTGGCAACGCTGTGTGCAAATGTAGAATTAGAGTTAACAATCGACCAACCAAATAAAGACGTTCAGACGCATTGTGGCCTGGCAACTGCCATGGTCACACATTTTTGTGGTCCTTGCAACGGCCATGGTCACAGATTTTTATCTTCCGAACTTGGCAGGTATATTAATACATTATATTTCGTTTCCACTGACTTGTCAGTGTGACTGGTGCCGGAGGTATGCCTTGGCAGAATGTCCAGAATTGTCATGGCTATCTCCTTTTGCTGCTAATATTACTGATTGTTACTCTCATTGCTACGCAGCTGCTATGGCAATACTTCGTGCCGTTAAACATGGTTACAATCGCCCAGACCAAATGGAAACCTGATTTTAGAGCTATATGAATATACCCCTCTTTTAATTATAATTTTCTGCTAATATATATTTTTGGTCGACGTTAATATCTTGTCAGCTCCATATTCTTATTTAATTAATAATTAACATTATAACGCCTGGGTATCCCCATTTGTCGAGTAAAAATGAAAATGGGGGGAGGGAGGGGGGCGGTGTTAAAGAAAAATATTCTAATATGTAGGGGGGTCATCATTAAATTTCTGCTCTTTTAAGGGGGGGGGGCTTTCAATTTTAAAAATTTAGGAAAGAAAAAATTCCCCTCCCCCCTTCCATAAATAATGACCGGCCCCTAGTAGTAAAAAAAGCCACAAAGGAACGTTTTAGCAGAGTTTTCACAGATGTCAGAAAAGAATACAATCGATCGCCGACGAATTACAACCAGTGTGAACCAGGCTTAAAACATGGCTGATAAATAATACATAACATATAACTTTAATGCCATTAAGTGATGATTTAGTCATCAGGGGGTTTGATTGTTTGCTTATTTTCAATGGTTGAAAATTGATCTATTATAACATTTAGATGGAAAGTGCCGAAGTGAATCAGTAAATTAAAGAAACAACCGTGACATTTATAGACCATGATTTTGTAGTCAACTCGTGAACAGACTACAGAGCGTTCCCGTTCGCAATTTGTCATTCTCTGACTACGAGATTGAATTGCTTTGCGCCCATGTATCACATGAGCCCATGCTTCACATCTGGACGAAACTTGAAACGAACAAGTACTCAGTAGAACGAATAATGAACTACACTTTCTTCCACAACACGAAATTTTTGCCGCAAGAGCCTACTTGCTGGTTATTTCAAGTTAGTGTAGCAAGCTATAATATAAAGTATACATACTAAGACAAACGAAGCCATTTCCAGAATATCCTTGATTACAGGCGCATTGGAAAGTGCCAGCAGTGTTGGAGCAAGTACCATCAGTATGGCATGGATTGGTTAGACATTCATTAATATCTGTAAGATAAAGAAAATAACCTTTAGTATATCATGAAAAAAGGCATCGGGGAGATGCTAAAGTAAAATACCATTCCGTTTCGCTTTTTGTTGAGAGAACGTAAAACAAACGTATACAAATAAGCAGATTATAATCATTTACAGCAGGGTGCGATCATTTTAGATTTTCAGTTGTCCACAATATAGTACTGCAATTTTTATTGCCGCGTACTTGACCTGGTACAAACCTGCAATTTAAAATGTACTCACTATTTATTAAGATAACTAACATTTCAAACAAATTTTTTTACAAGAACATATGTAAAGTGTAGAATATCTGTAGAATATCCAGTACTCTCATAGATCTTTGCATTACTAATTCGCCAGTTAATGTTGTGATTTCCGGTGTTCTACGTACATCTTTCAATAAGTGATCATTCACTAGTTTATATGGTCCGGAAGGCTCATTATACTAACGTAATGATGCCAGAACTGTCGAAGTTAGATCATTAAAAAACTTCAATAGAGAGAATTTTCTAAGAGATTTAGAACTAAAACAATGGAATAATGTACATTGTTCTGAAGATCCGAATGAGATGTGGACTACCTGGAAAAGCATGTTAATGGAACTATTAATAAGCACGCCCCATGTAGATCAAGGCGTATTGGTAAAAAGAGGTCCTCGTGGATTACAAATGATTTGAAACGTCAAATGTTTAAAAGAGACTATTTGAAAAAGAAAGTTATTTCTTCACAGGACCCCCATGCTTGGCATGAATATAAACAGTCTCGTAATCAAGTTAATAATGAAATTAAAAAAGCCAAGACATCATATTTTACCACAAACCTTGAGCTACATAAAGGCAATATGAGGAAGACATGGAAGCTAATTAATGAAGTTAGTTCAAAACATTCAAGCAAAACTAAAAAATTATCAGAAATTAGGTTGGGAGAGCAAGTTATTACCTCACCATCGAGATATCAGAAGCATTCAATAACTATTTCTCTACTGTTGGTAGCAATCTTGCTTCTGACATCGTTTTAACAGAAAATGGCCCAGAGTATTATGATCTCAAGCCAACTAATAGCATGTTTTCTTTGAAGACTCCCTCTGTTGATACAGTTTATAAGTTATTGACAAAAAATGGATGAAAAAAAATCAGTTGGCTTTGATAAGATACCCAGTAAATTACTTAGGATAGCTGATGATGTTGTTGCACCTTCCCTAACGGCAATATTTACAGCATCTATCAAACGGGAATATTTCCGCACGAATGGAAAGAGAGCAGGGTTTCACCAGTGTACAAAAGCGGTGTTAGGAATGATCCTAGACCTAGTAATTATCGCCCCATATCTGTCATTCCTGTCATTGCTAAAATTTTGGAGAAAATTGTTTATGAACAACTCTACGAATATTTGAATAATCATAATCTTTTGACCACCTGTCAATCGGGATTTCGATCGTTACATAGCACTCTAATGGATTAGCGAAGCCACAAATAGCTGGTCTGTGAACATTGACAATGGTCTGATTAATGGAGTTGTTTTCATAGATTTAAAGAAAGCATTCGACACCATTGATTATAATATTATTTAAAAAAAGTTGGAAAATTATGGAGTCGACTTGAATAGTCTTAAATGGTTTGAGTCGTATCTTACCAATAGAACTCAAAAATGCCATGTAAATGACCATTTGTCAAGTTCAAATCCAGTTACCTGTGGACTGTGGTGTTCCGCAGGGGAGCAATTTGGGACCATTGTTATTTCTCGTATATATTAATGACTTACCAAATTGTCTTACTTGTGCCATCCGGATGACACTAGAGAGCTTAAGATCTACGACACGGGCGGCTCAACGACGCGGTCTGAATTTCAGCTCAAGAACGAGCGTTAAGCAATTTCATTACTGTAATAAATGTTTGACGATTTTTCAAATAACATTATGAACTGCTAAGTTTGACTGATTTTTGAAAAAATTAAAAATTTTTTGTTTTGTTTTATATGATGCCTATGTTATCAAAATATACTCCTATGTTGCTTTCTCGTGATTTTATGCCTAAAATGTATTTATTTTAAGGGTTTTTTACTGGATGTTCACTCGTTGCTATGGAAACAGATTTGTTTACCATTTGTTTTTTGCCTATGAAAGCGAATTTATTTACAAAATTTTCGGTAAAAAGCGTGGGGTATTTAGGGAAGACTGGGCTCTAATCTAAGCTTTTCCCCAGGCCCCCTACGAAACGCGCAGACGAAAAAGGAAACATTCTTTCTAACATTGTGATCGAGAGTTATTTTGCGAAAATAAAATGGGAAAATTTGCTACACAGAAGCGTAAAAAACGCCAATTTTGTGCCAATCAACATACTAAACGTTCTCGTGTTGAATATGAGGGAGAGGGCGAGCCAGTAATGCAAGAAAATAACGAGGAAAGCGAGGTTTCTTTGAGTGCTGATGAGGGCAACGTGGGCGCTATTCCAGCTGGAATTTCAGTGTCCTACATGAAGCTTCAGCCTCGTGTTCGGCAGAATTCCAGTGAGAAAAGAACCCCTAAACCTTCAACAAAAAGTTCTCAAGGCACTTATGGATTCAGGCTTTGTGATATGGAACTTATTGGAAATGTTTTTTCCATATTTGTCAGCTTCCCAGAATGTATACAACACAATGGAAGAAAATAGTATCAAACGTAAAGATTGTGCTTCTAAACTCCACCTCACTTGCCGACACTGCAAATGGATGCATTTGTCTTGGATTTCAAAACGAAAAACAATTTAGAGTTTTGAAGTAAATTGACGATTTGTGTATGGAATGCGAATGATTGGCAATGGTCATGCTGGTGCGTCAAAGGTTTGCTCTGTCATGAACATGACACCACCACCTAGACCAAAGTCTTTCAAGAAGTCATCTTGTGTCATTGCTAAGCATGCAAAGACAGTTGCTAAGAAGAGCATGAAAGCAGCTGCAAAAGAAGTGTGTGTTTTGCAACAAAATGAAGATGTTGATGGAACAAATCCTGTAGACTGTGGTATTTGATGTGACGGTACCTGGCAACGAAGGGGACATTCATCATCTAACGGGTGTGTTACGGTTATGTCGATGGATACCGGGAAAGTTCTTGATGTTGAGACCCTGAGTCACTGACTACATTTTGCAAAAGAGGCAATCAGTGAACTTTTTCCAGTGAACTACTGGATATTACTCCTGGCAAGTATACAGAAGTGGCTTGTCAACTTGAAGACAAGTTGAGAGTTTCGTATGCAGAACACAAATCCACGCCCGAAGTTAAAAAGAGGCGTAAAGTGATGAGAGGACTGAAAAAACAAAAGTATGACAAAAACAAACAGGGGGAGGGAGTAAAGTATGGTGCTGGAGAGTTCTATTGACTTTTAGGGACATGAAGTGTTTTTGGTAGCCAATTACATAGTATGAAAAGTTTAAACTGTATTTTCTCCAATAAACGATTTTCACAAGGTTTGTAATCTGCCAACAATGATATCTCAAAAACAATTTAACAGATTTGGCTAAAATTTTCAGAGGATGTTTACTTCATCAAAAGCTATGCAATGAACTAGAATGAAGTCATTAGGTCAAATACTTTTTGTGCTATAAGCAAAAATTCATGCTGATCATGATTAAATTTCAGGCACACATATTGTTTCATTCAGAACTTAGAAACTACTTATCTGATTTAAAATCTTTTAGTTCATTGCATGGGTCTAGTAGTGCTTAATATTTTCCCAAAGTTTCGTAGACAAATCTTAAATTGCTTTCGAGTTATCATCGTTGGCGCAATTGTCCGCTGCAAGGCGTGTCGAGCTGTTATCTTGGTAACCATGGCAACAGCATATGTCAAACTCACATAAATGTAAATACTTTTCTATGGGCTTTCATAATATACCATTTAAACTTTATTTCTAGTTTTAAATATAAAAAAAAATATTTTGAGGGTCATTCCACCTTGAACGCAATAAGCTTTTACGTTGCTTCAAAGACGTGATAATGCTTAGTTTAACGTTGTGCTGAGCTTGACAACGCCGTTGAGAATACCCCTGGGACCACGAATTATTCACAGTTTTGTCTTGCATGACAAATTTCTTTCTTTCGCAAGCGCGTCGTTAAGCCTGCCGCGTCGTAGATCTTAAGTTCGCTATTAAGCACTAGTTACGCGGCAAATTCTATGGACAAGCTCCAAAGTGTCGTAAACTCTGAATTGGAAAACCTTCACAAATGGCTGAACACAAATAAACTAAGCCTAAATATTGTTAAAACAGAGTTTATCATAATTGGATCTCGACAAAGAATGAGTGCTATGGATGACAGAATAACGGTTGAAATCAATGATTGTGAGGTTGAAAAAGTCGATTCAGTCAAATCTCTGGGGGTATATATTGATAAACATCTAAATTGGTCAACACATATTTATCTAAGAAAATTGCTTCGGCAATTGGCGTTTTAAAGTGTATTAGACCATATGTAACAACTGACGCGGACATTCATATATACCGAGCGTTGATAAAACCACATTTCGACTATTGTTGCTCGGTCTGGGATGGTCTAGGTCAAATACTAAGTTCCAAAATACAAAAGCTGCAGAATAGACCAGCAAGGATTGTTATGCAAGCGAGTTATAATGCCAGTGCGGGTGCGCTCTTTGATGTGCTGCACTGGGATAATCTCTCTTTGCGTAGGAAAAAATTCAAGGCTAATTTAATGTTTAAAATTCTTAATGGGAAAGCCCCCCTTATTTGCAGGAACTTTCTCTGTTCGTGGCATTGGGTATAATATTAGAAACTCTGAAATGAGATTAAATGTCCCCAAGCCACGGACAGATTATATGAAAAAAAGTTTTGTTATAGTGGGGCTGTATTGTTTAATAGTCTCCCGCAAGATATAAGAAAATGCCAATCGTTATCACAGTTTAAGAAGGCAATTAATAAATATTACGTTAATCTTAATAAGTGATGGTGTATGCCATAATAGACCTTACAATGAGCTCACGCATTTGGGGAAGAGCTTGAAATAAGCAGCTCTACTTAGTAGGCGGAATAATGAATTCCAGTTCTTTTCACTATAGTCACAGCCACAGTATTTTTGTAGCGCGTGAATAGTGCAGGGTGTGTACATTCAAAATGGTTTAATAATTCTTACCAGAACAACTCAATCCGCTTCCTGAATATCCAGTATTACATGAACAGTCAAATGAGCCAGGTATGTTGGTACATCTAGCATTGTGATTACATGGTGCTTGCAAACATTCATTGATATCTGTATAACATAGAGCATTACAATATTTAGCAACATGCGTAAATATTTAAATCATGTCGAGTTTTCCACGATCACGAAGCACATAATACGCATGTTCGTGAGCTTTATTTCCAGCTACCTGGAAAGTATAGAAAGAACTATCTGATCGAAGCCTGACCATTGGCTATCTACAATGGCACCCAACACTCAACATAATACAATACTTCATTTCTTGATAATAGGGAGTTTACATATGCAAGACGGCAACGTCAGGACGACGGCTATCAATACCATGTCATTAATCCTATAGCACAAAAGAAATAAATAATTAAAAGTATAGCAGGGGTTTCAGACGTCGTCCAGGCTCAGTTGACGACGGCAAAATGCATATTTTCACATCTTGTAAAGTACGCCAGCATTTCAAGCCGTGGCAGGTAATTTTTCTAGTAGAGTTGATCAAAATTGCTCTGAAGGTTAAAGCTCTGTTTTACTCGTTCGAAACTGTATTAAATTCCTACGAAAGTAAATACAAGACAATATTTCCATACAATCATTTATTTCAAACAGTTTGTTTAGTCGTTGTCCTGACGCCGCCGTCTCATATGCGTAAACTCCTTAATAAGAATAGTAGTAAATATAGAAAAGGTTCCGTTCACATGAAATGTGGTCGGTGCTCAAATTTTCACGATTTCAATTTGTACGTTCGCATGCGACGTATGAAAGCAGACGAGAGAAATCCTGAAAAAAAGCTGATGGTGTACAAACTCCGTAATACTGAACTTACCAACGCAATTGAGACCATTTCCAGAATAGCCTGCCTGACAACTGCACTGATATGAACCAATTGTATTTACGCAGTTTGCCAGAGAGTTGCAAGGTCTTGTTATACTACATTCATTGATATCTGAAATTAATTTTAAATATTAATAATTTATTAATTTATATTTCGCATTTATTAATCATCAGGGTCGTAGCTAGCATGTATAGTTGGGGTAGGCTAAAAATTTCCGAATGACGAAAAAAATTTCCGAATATTTCATGGCATACGAAGCCACGAAGGTGTTTGCTATCCGGAAAATGAAGACGCAATATTACAGTAGCATGCAGTGCCGTAGAAACCTCTTTATCAATTGTCAGTATTTTAATGGTATATTATTTAGATGATGATTAGATACATTTCATGGATAGCTTTATTGAAAGGGTGCAAGTGTTTCGAAGTTAATACGATATTGGACAGGGCGCCAATTTCGACTTTGCAGCAAGGGTATGGAGCGTTTGAACTTATTCCCCAGGGACCAACTCAACAAAAGCAATGGCGGCCATGTGGGTGTTCCAGACAAAAGAGTCTAATTAAAATTATTTTGAATACTGACTGTGACGTCATGTGCAAACGTTCTATAACTCGATAGTACTTCGATTCCTCAAATACAAGACGAGTCTACTCAGCTGACAATTAGTAATCTTTACAACAAACTGTTGCAATAACCAGAGGGACATGAAAGCATGTATCATGAGCATGTTTAATTCATCTTATACACCATGATTTCAAATTTTTACATCTTAGAAAGTGACTGTTCTTCTCATATGCATGCATCTGACATTCGCAAGCCAGGTAATATTCTCTTGAATTTGTTATAACATACATTGATGCAAATGAAAAGATATTTTAACAAAAGTGTCATCGATAAGGTGATCAAAATGCTCAATGTTTTGAAAATTCTCGCTGTTCTACATTCCACTCAGTCTATTGTTCTTGGCATTCTCCCAAGGACTTATTCTGATCAGTACTGAAAAATTCAAATAACTATACCATGTAAAAATTTAGATGAAGAGAAAAGTTTCGTAATTTTCGATCCGTACGTGAAAAACATTAATTGCAATTATTGGTTGTTTCAATTGAATTACTTACCATTACATATAAGTCCATTTCCATCAAAGCCAGAATTACAACGACACAGGAATGATCCAGGGCTGTTCGTACAGCTTCCAAAAACGTTGCATGGTTGGGTCGGGCATTCATTGATATCTGAAACAACAAGACGACATTATACAAACCAAAATAAAAAAGAATGCACCATAACTAATCCCAGATATTGAACTAAAAAGAATACAAAATCTTTGAGCTGTTTTTCGACTTTATCTCAAACTCCTGTTCAGATCAACAGACAATTATAGAATATCTACATGTCATAGAGAATGCTCGTTGAATTCAATTTTACTGATTTGCGAGACGCTTTCTATTTGGAACACTTATCATATTACAAAACACTGGAATGTGTTTTAAAGCGTTTCATACGGAAATGATATGAATCCTAGCAGGAGTAATTGCGACTAATATGTCTATGGATATACTTTATGAAAATACAGTAGTACTGATGGATTTTAATTTCCCCCAGACTAGTGTAAATTACTGCAATTGAACATACCGACGCATTGTTGACCATTTCCAACATATCCCGTATTACAAGTACATATGAACGAGCCTATTGTGTTCTCGCACGTGGCCTGAGAATGACATGAGCTTGCCCGTTTACATTCATCAATGTCTGAAACAATATTATACAAAAATATTACAAAAATATTTCATCATGTAATATTATTTAATATAACCATAGTTCATCCAGTTAGCAATAAGAGTAGCAACACATATACTGTTAAGTGCATTTATGTTACATGTACATTTTTTTGTATATTAAGTATTATGTCGATCAGATGTCGGATCAGTTGTAATCCTGTGATGTCAAAATACTGTACCTGCACAGTTAAATCCATCACCAAAGAATCCTGTATTACAAGTGCACAGGAAGGAGCCAATCGTGTCTGTACATTGTGCGTTGGAATCACAAGGATTAGTAAGACATTCGTTTATATCTAAGAAAATAATTCAAATTGTTTTCGTTCAAAACTTTCACCTTTGCTCATATTAGTTTCAAAATCAAAACCTGTAGAGGTTCTGATCATTAAAATTATGGAGTCTGATCATTACAACATTAAAAAATAAAACGTCATTGGTACTCTAACTTTGCAGTCTTTCGAACCTATAATACCTCGATTAGAGTTAAGATTATTTCCTGCCTAATTATTTTCGTTATTTGCAGCGGCAAAAGCGTACTGCTGGAAATATTAGTTTGCAAACTTTTTTTAACTCATATTTAATGCTAATTTGTTCTTTTGAAAGGATGTCTGCTTTAAATAAAGTTAAAAAGGCATTGTAACTTACAACTTAGGCCTGTTTTAAACGTCGCGCTTCTCATGTGCCGAACGCATTAAAAACAATAGATAATCAGCTGAAATGCCTCATCATCTATTGTTTCTAATGCGTTCGGCACATGAGAAGCGCGACGTTTGAAACAGGATTTAGCTATTTAGTTCGTGAATTATATCGCATAGAGATTTTAAGAAAATATTAGGAGAGATTTTAGGAAAATATTGGGGAAGGGTCGTCCTCATGCATCTAATATCCACTGTTGAGTATTGTTATTTTATTTATCGTTGAAAAGGTCTACAACCAGGAATGTGCGTTGATTTAACCCAGAATTTGAATTAAGATGTACAGGATGTCTCAAAAAAACGCAATGGAAATTCAGCAGGCTGTCGTGCATCATAAACGTGGCTAAACAATTCAATTTTTACATAGGACGAAAGAACAGTTATTTAGCTTTTCAATGATACTCTTTTTAAACCGTAACGATGAGAAATGGCCACATACTCGTCAAATAAAAATTGCCGATCGAAATCACATTCTTCCACCGTTGGGAATTGCATGGAAAACGAAACGTATAGGGAGGAGGAATTCCCAAGAGGGAAATAAAATTGAATGTTAATTATCTAAAATGAGCTCAACTCGTTAATCTTCGTCTTATAGCACAGTTAAGTTAAACATGGTTCAATTAAACCCTGAACAGAGAACATTCGTAATCAAAACGTTTTACGAAACAAATAGCTTGCAGCAGACTCGCGTTGCTTTTGGATTGATTAACTTTATAATTAATGTATTTTCAATTCCTAAAAGTGGAAGAATGTGATTTCGACCGGGAATTTTTATTTGACGAGTATGTGACAATTTCTCATCGTTACGATTTAAAATAGGTATCATAGAAAAGCTAAATAACAGCTCTTTCGTCTGATGTAAACATTGAATTGCTTAGCTTAATTAAGTTTATGACGCACGACAGCCTGTTGAATGTCCGTTGCGTTTTTTTGAGACAACCTGTAGAACCATGCACCTGGTCAGACTTAAACCAATGGTTTACCACCATCTGATTCTTAAAATTAACAAGCTGAGTTTAGTTAGTGTAGTTTTAGACTGCAGATACTGCTAAACTTTGCAATATTTAGCTTAGTTTACTTTCTCTTCTCGGCAGATTGGATGGTTTTGTTCATATTTCCATTCATTTAATCATATGAATATTAATCAGGGTGGAGGCTAAGATTTCAAGACATTTTTCAATAAATTATAAAAATATACAATAAACATAGAAAGTGTGCCACTACTTACTGGCACAAACCCTTCCGTTTCCAGTGTAACCAGTGTTACAGGTACAATTGAATGAACCAATAGTATTTTCGCAAGTAGCTCGACCAGCAGCGCACGGGCTCTGTGCACATTCATTAATGTCTAAAGAAAAGATCTGTAATTTAAATATTATCTTCATTAGAATGAATTAAGGTTACAGAACACCTTTGAGTGCCAATTTTGCCTAAAATTTTTTTAGTGGTTTCCATGAAAGCATTAGACTAGTTCTACTATCTGACCAAGTTTGAACGAAAAATGTTGAAAACTGCCGATAGAGTTATTTAATAAAATACATTTCGCTGCAATAAGTAAAAGATTGAAAATGTAATATGCAAATTCAATTTTCTCCCGAAGAATTTTACGGCAATTACCGATTTTCAAACGAGTTATTCTCCTGCGGGTTTTAATGAATTTTTCTCAAATTTTCACAGGACATATAGCTAAAGACGTCAGTTTCAAAATCGTGCTCGGCTTTTTTCTAATTTTGGATATTTTATAAAGAGTGAATCACACAAACGATTCAGAAATATATTGCAGTCGTCAAAGAAATCGCCAAATCAGCGGAATATATGACGAAATAAATAAAAATTTCCGAACACAATCTTTTAGAACAACTATTTTACTGTATAAAAATGATATTTTCATAAATATATCTTAAAACCAAAAGGAACACAACTCAAAAGCGTAAAGGTACGGCGATTTAAGATTTTCCTGAATAATTCTTACATTATTTTATTGTTTGGCAATTTTACAACTTTGCTATATTGTGCATGAACTGGAGAACATTTGGTGAAAATTTGATGAAAATCGGACTGATATTGAGCGCGCAGTAGCAATTTTCCGCAAAACGCCAAAAAGGGTGTTCTGCATGTAAACTTAATATACATATCAGTAAAGATCACTGAATAGCCAAATTACCGTTAGTATCTGCCTAAACATAACATAACATCTGATTTTATAAAGATTTGACAAAGTAGTTGAATAGCACCGAGACCGTTCTTCACAATTGTCGCAATTAACGATAACAATTTTTTTTAAATGCAAATAAATGATTACAGACCTGAGCAAAAGAATCCATTTCCAGTGAAGCCAGATCTACAAGCACATAGATATGATCCAAATGTATTGGTACAGGTAGCGTGAACGCTGCAAGGGTTAGCCAAACATTCGTTTATATCTACAATGAGAAAGACGGAAATTCCTCCTTATTGATATTGTACAATCTTGTACACCATAAAAACTATATTGAAGTAGAACTGCACATTGCTCAATTTTACATTGCAAATTCTTTTAAAAATGTAACACTCTCGACAACTTGATATGAACCACTACTCAGTAGAAGAAATAATGAACTCCAGTTTCTTTTATAATCCGAACATTTTTGGGGTAAAGTTTAATAAGTAGATTTATCGCGTGTCAATTAATATAACAAGCTTTTGGTTTAGATAAAACATGAATGATAATTCACCGTCACAGACAAGACTGCCATCCCCAGAGAAACCATCATTGCAAGTGCAGAAATATGATCCTTGTGTGTTTGTACAGGTAGCTCGAACATGGCATGGGTTAGATGTGGTACATTCATTTATATCTAAAAATTTAAGCAAGAAATAAGTAAAGTTTCACAACAGTCTTGTGCTAGATAGCGATTGTCATTCCCATGTCAAATGACTTGTGATAGTTACTCGTGATTTATATTATGCAATAATTATCTTATCTTTTTTCATTATACCAAAAATGCTTTTAGCGTACACAAGTTTCCACAAACATGAATAAAAAGATAGAACAAAGACCGAGATTCCAGATCATACATCTTGATTGACTATGGGAGTTTTCATCATCTCAATAATCATGATAACCTCAAAAAAGGATTGATGCATTTGCTTACCCGCACAGTTGAAACCATTTCCAGAATATCCTTGGTTACATGTACAAGTGTAAGAGCCAATCGTATCCGTGCAAGTTGCTTGAGCGTGACATGGATTATTCCTGCATTCATTTATATCTACACAAATGAAATCGCAGCAACAAATTTTAATACAATTTCGATTGAGTACTTTATAATGATGTCTGTCCCCCTTTCACCCATGTTTAATTATATAAGAAAGATGTATAAAAACAAAAACAACTGGTCAACTGTCAATGAATATTTAATCATGAATATTTGATTAATACAACAAGTCAATAGATGAGCGAAAAGACAAAATCACACGCTGTAATGGTGGCATTCACTTCAAGACCTGAGAAACGTAATAAATCACGTTTGACAGGCACTAGCTTTTATACTAGACTGTACCTATTCTTGGATTGCACGTGACGTCATGCAGGCCATGTTGGAGGAACTTTGATACCATAATCCCATTAGCAGGTATTTTAATTAGCCTAAAGCGTGTTTTATCCAACATGGCCGCCACTGGTTTTGTCTCTCAAGGGATTGATAGCAACCCCCCATGGACAAATACCTGAGTATCTAACGCAATTTGATTGGTTGCTTATCTCCGGATGCACTATTCACCTCTGGGGCAAAATAAAATGCTTCATGTTTCGTTCCGGTCATAGACGAGCAAATATTTAGCTTTACTGTAAACGAAACTGTGGTTCCGCTAAGCACAAAGAAAGCCTCAAAGTTTTGTTTGTGTGGAAGTAATTTTTACTGTTTCTAATTACTAAAATTACTAAAATTAGTAAATACTGTTTTGTTTTCAACAATACAAATTGTTTTCACACTATTTTCGTTGTTTTTTGCTCATTATTCTTTTCTTATTGTCATTTTTGTTTTGTTATGGTATATGCTAAAAGTGACGTCAGTGTCGGTGAATCTAACGCTTCGCGTCCTGGTGAATATCCTTGCACCGTTCAGTGTCGGTGAAAAATTGTTAGCTATTGTATCTTAAGTTAATTAAATCACTCTGGCCGCCTCTTATTACGCTTTTCTCGCCCGGTTTGCAAACAAAGAATGGCGAACAAGCGTGGTTGCGTGGCATCTCTGCATGAAGATACAAATGGAAAATGTTGACTTACTGACGCAAGTGAATCCATTCCCCGCAAATCCAGAGTTACATTGACACAAGAAAGAGCCACGCGTGTTTGTACATTGAGCATTTGTGTCACAAGGAGTAGTAAGACATTCATTGATATCTAAAAAGAAAGTGAAATGTAAAGATAAAATAGTGAACACTTCCAACAAAAACTAAAAGTAATTTGTAATTACAACTTAAAAACACTTCATACTATGAACCCTGTATTAAGACAGGGGTCTTCCATAAACATTTCCTTGCATGAAAGAAAAACAAGCGGTATTGATTTTTTTTATTAAATGCCCTGAAACAGTTCATTGTTACTGCAGCAAATTGAGAGAGATACAACTACCTGAAAACTATAAGCAGAACTTCGATGTTTCGAGCGAAGACGCTTCGTTGAGAAGTTAGTAGCATGGATAGGAAAAATACCATGAGCTTTTATACTAGTAAACTACTAAATATGAAAGCGATCATGCTGCACGTGACAAAAAAAACAATCAGATGAATTTAGTCCAAACAAACTGTAGACAAATATTTAAATTACATTACAAAATATATTAATACAAATATACGGAAAACTGCAAATGATATATGAAACAAGTCTGGAATAAGGTGATATTTATTGTGACGTGATCACTTTTATATTGCCTAGTATAAAAGCACATGTAATTTTCCCGATCAACACTCTAACTTCCTGAAGAAGAGCCTTCGCTCGAAACGTCGAAGTTGTGATCAAATTGTAACCCTCTCAATTCTCACGCAGCTGCCTTTTGACATCGCTACTATAACACTGGCACAGACCTTCAAGATTACGTCACTCGTGCACTTTACTGCATTTCAACCAAACAAATAAACTTTTCTCTCTATGAAGCTCTTCTCTCCAACATTAAAATCTCCTTAAGCCCCGAGTAAATATCTTCTGACTAACTGGGGATTACCGCTGTTCCTTATTCGTCAATTTCTTCGCATGTGAAACAAAACAACAACTTACCAGAACAAGTAAGTCCATTTCCAGTGAAACCAACGTTACAGGTACATGTAAATGAACCAGGGGTGTCTTGGCAAGTTGCATCTGGACTACAAGGACTCAACGTTACACATTCATTGATATCTGAAATTATAACAAACTCATGTCAATTCTGACATTAACCTACATCATTTTTCATGAAGTATCACTATCATCAGAAAGCACTAATTCTAATTAAAATAATGTTTTTACATTAAAATAATGCACTTAATGTTTTAAGTATTTACCAGGCTTACAATTTATTTTCAAATTTAATATATTTCCAAAGTTTTCAATTTCCTGGACAACATTAAAATCTCTCCGCATTAATTAACTGTGGCCATGATTCTGCCTGATTCGGGAAAGAGAACTTACATTCACATTATTCAGCTCACTTGTCATGACACATTGCACAAGATATTGCGCTGACTAATATTACCTATAGTTAGACAAGACTAATTTACCTTTACAACTGTGACATTACTTTCCTAACTACTATATTGTTTATCCTATATGTATATCTTAACTAAGACTCTTAAATCTACCAAGAGCGCATAGTTCAATGAGCCAGATATGCCGTAGCCAAAGATTGGAATTCAGCTTCTGTGCTAGTTCCCATGCACAATGAGTTCCCGTCAAGAAATCAATAGTTGTCAGTAGTAACTCTTATAGTGTAACTACTGTTCATCCTGTCAAGATCAGCTACGTTCGCAGCTAAAGAGGACCTTTCAAAAGTTATTATTCAATTAATTAGTATTTATAAAGTTATATACACATGGTCTACAAGTATTTTTACGAGTTGTGATTTGCTACTTACTCAAACAAGTAAGTCCATTTCCAGCATAGCCAGAGTTACAAGTGCACGTGAATGAACCAGGAGTATTCCCACACGCAGCATTTGGATCACAAGGATTGGTCAAACATTCGTTGATATCTGTTGACGATGAAATTAATTATATATTCTAAATTTCTTGTAAATTTTAAGTAATATTTCAAATCCGACCATGAAGGCTGGATTGCAAGTCCGCGCAACTTGATCAGGCGAAGCCGAGGACTGGATCAAAATGTGACAAATCTAGTCCAGTCCTTGTCCAGTCCGAATTGGAGGATTTGAAATGACATCTCAATGATCTCATACGAATAAATCACTACTTAATTACTTCTGATCCAGTCCAAGGATTGAATTAATTTTGATCCAGTCCTAGGACAGGTAAAATCTATTTCATCAGGTATCCAGTATTATCATGTGAGCAAAATAAAGCAATATGGTTGGCTAAGTTACTCGTAAATTATTAATGAGTTTGAGATGTATAAGTGAACTTGCAGGTACTATAGTGGTTGACATGGCTACGCCTCGTCGTCAGTGGTCAGAGTCACACACATTTATTCAACTGTGTACTGCACCGAAGAAATGAATAAACAAAAACTAAATTACAACCCCCTTTGACTAAAAGAATGCCATTATGCATTTCAGTCTATAATACTCTTTACAATAAAGCATGAAGAGTTTTTGCTTAAAAAACGTAATTCTGTACCCATACGGTATTTTTCTTTGAGCGGTTTATTTTATTATTATTTATTTCTTAGCTTTGCCAAAGATTAAACTATACAAGTCAACTATTAATTATGGCAGTGTGTTCTTAGTTACAGCTATATAATCATAAACTCCCTTTCCGATAATATCGAATTGCTCAAGAAGTTACGCGTGTTGAAGTTTATATTGGAACTCAATTTTCATAATACTTACCGACACAACTGAATCCATCGCCAGAATATCCAGAATTACATTGACATGTAAATGATCCAACAGTATTGGTACATGTTGCAGAATTATGACATGTGTTCGGATTCAAACATTCATTTATATCTATAAGAAATAGAAAAAAATGGATTTTTTACACATGCACGCAGTCCGGAAAAACGAGGAAAGGTTACATAAATTCATTATATAAACAAACAAACAAACAAACAAACAGACAGACAGACAGACAGACAGACAGACAGACAGACAGACAGACAGACAGACAGACAGACAGACAGACAGACAGAGAAGATTGACTACAGACATAATTGATTACCTTGACAGTGAGTTCCATTGCCAGCGAAACCAGTATTACAAGTACACGTGTATGAACCAGCAGGAGTGTTTGTACACGTGGCGAATTGATGACATGGATCATCATTGCATTCATTGATATCTATACAAGATGAACACGTGACACGATAAGTCAATACTTATACCTAGCTGCATATTGAGCATGGTTGCCTTATAAAATGTCATTTGATTTGCTTATATAGGGTGGCAATAAAACGCCAATGAAATATAGACATAAAACAGTATCTAATTTTGAACAGAAACCTCTCCCCATTACCCCATGCATCCCCATCGTAGCAAGGTACAATGGGTTCCCTAATTTAAATGCAAACATTTAAGTGTACTCGGACTTTACATACAGATTGAAGTTCTTGTAATAAATCAACACTAGGCTTACCGTTACACGTTGCTAAACCGTTGCCACTGTACCCAGTGTTGCAGGTACAGGTAAAACCACCAACTGTATTTGTACAGAATGCATTTGCATGGCAAGGGTTACTTGTGCATTCTCCAATATCTGGAAAGAATTATAACGAAGTATAATAAAACATAAGTAATTTCAATTAGAAGAAAGATATGTTGAGTCTGCTATACATTCAGGTTTAAAGTGAAGTTGCATCGTTATCTTTCGCGCACGAATATATTTATCTTTAATCATGTCCCTAACCCTGAAAGCATCATAAGCGAAACATAACTTTGGCACCAAAATCAGTTATTCGCAATAATTGATATTCTATGTCCCAATTTTGGTGCAATGCATAATATTAAATCGGGCAAGGAAGAATGAAAAAGTGGATTTTCTCAGATAATTTTCTGATTCTGGCTTTACAAGTACTCTTAACCGTATTCATTGAATTCGTTGCAAACAAACGACCGTCTCTCTTATGTTCTCATAAAAACCCAATTTAAAATTTTTTATTTATTTTTAATTTTTAAATTTTTCATTTATTTCTAGCTCAGATTCCTGATTCCACAATGGCCATGAACTAAACACAATTTATAGCTTTGATTTTAAGCGTTTGCCAGAGGCAGAACATTAAACTTTGTTGCATTTCACGATAGCTTCAATCTAAAACATAACGCAATTTCACTGATGTATACACTGATGATCCACTTACCGGTACAGGTAACCCCGTCTCCATTGAAACCTGCTATACATTGACACGTGAAAGATCCAGGTGTGTTAGTACATGTTGCCAACGTGGGGTGACAATTGTGAGTTCCAGCTGTACATTCATTGATATCTATGCAAGAACAGCAATATAATTTAACCACAGGTTATCCCAATGAGATATAAAGGGATTGTGAGAAATTATGTAGGATCTTTGCATCTTTTTTGTTCATGCACAATCCAAATGGACATCTAAAATTTGTTTTATACAAGCACAGAATGAAATCATGCCACTGCCATATTGCTGACCAGTCACATTAAGCTGAGGTAAAATAGCATGGCTAAAAACGCGTGATGGATGTTAGCCTGATAGGTAGATTTTTACAAGTTGCTACATCAGGATGTTGGCGACTTAACCCTGAAGGTAAATAAATTCCAATTTTAAGCAGAACTCTATAGAGAAAACAAAAAATACTGTATAAGAATAAAAACATTTTAAGAAGTATCGAGGAAAATGACCTACCAACACACTGACGTCCATTTCCAGTGTATCCAGTGTTACAAGCACAGGTATATGATCCTTGAGTATTAGTACACGTTGCAATACCCCCAGCACAGTCGTCAAGATCATTTAAGCAGTCATCGACATCTAAGTGATAATGTGTCACAGATGATCAATCAGATAAATTAAAACAATTAAAATGCAATCAGGGAACTTTAACTCACGAATTTATTGATAAAATGGGAGTAGCGTCTTGCGTCGTCAGACCAAGTGGAAACACCAAAAGCGCATGGTTGCTATTTATATGATGACAGCTGGCATCACTTACTGATTTGTAAGAAGTGAAGTATTCAAGTATGTTCAAATACAAGGGAATCAAAACTCTAGCATTTTTCATTCCATTCATTAGCATGCATGCATGCATGTCCACGCTTGATGTTAAGCTAACTTTATGGTAAATCCCCAGGTACGCATGATTGACATAAGTGAAAGTTATTAATAAAATAAGCATAATAAAAAGAAGAATAACTACATTCGGCCGAACACGGATTGCGCGAGTTTGCGTTGAGATACGACAATAACAAGTCAAGCCCATACACTTCGTTTTCAAGAGAAAATCCAATGACAAACAATGAATATCTATGAAATGAAAACAGTTCTCGACCGAAACTCTTAATTAAACAATGAATACCTCGACAGTTGACGCCATCTCCTTCGTATCCTACATTACATCGACATTCAAATGAACCCTGAGTGTTGCTACATGTCGCAAATTGATGACAATCATCAATATTCAGGTTGCATTCGTTAATATCTACAGTAAGAATGAATGTATTATTATATATAACACTGCAATATTTATACAATATTCTAGCCACATGCTCTGTATGACCAGTTTTAAATCAGTAATATAATTATCACAAAAATTACCTCTTTGTTTAAATGTTTGTAAGTAAATAGATCAATAAATTATAATTAAATTAATAATAAAATAAACAATAAAATAAATGTTAAGCATATCTATTTAATAGCGTTTGCCCAGAACGTTATCACTTTATGGCTTATCCAATAAGATAAATGAGTTAATTTAAAAACTTACATGAATATACATAAACTATCTTTAGGTTAACCTAGATCTTGCTCTATTTACTAAACAAATATATAGTAATGACACATACCAACACAGTTTGTTCCTGATCCAGTGTAGCCAGGATTACAGGTGCACCTGAAGGAGCCTTGTGTGTTGGAACATTGTGCGTTGCTATGACAATTGTGTGTATTTGTTGTACACTCATCAATATCTATACATTGAAAATAGTTCATTTGGTTTCAGATTTCAAAGAATGGTTCATATTATTAATTTAAGGTTCCATACCAACACAAATAACTCCGTTTCCAGCATATCCTGTTAAGCAAGTACACAGGAATGATCCGTCAGTGTTGGTACATAAGGCGTTGGCATGGCAGTTGTCTGTACGTCGTATACACTCATTAATGTCTAAAAAGAAATGCATAACACTTTTATGGATACAATAATGATCATCACAAAATTTCAGTATTCTTTTCACACATAGCTCAACTTTCGCACTATATGTAAAGAATAATAACGTAATTCATTTTTCTGGTCATTAATTTTGGCAGATGCACTATAAGACACCCTGGGAATATGCAGAAGGTTAACCAAATATTGCATAAATAATATCTAAGGAATGCATATAAGCATGTTCAGACATAAATTTTGCGAGAATTTATATACAGCTGTAGACAGGTTTGGAAGTATAAGGATCATGGAAAATTTTGGATTTTGTCCGAAAACTCTGACTGGGAATATTGGAACACAGCATATATTCAAAACAACCTTTAAACACGCATGTAACAGAAGTACGAACCGTGCTAATTTTGATATAGCGATCCGAATTCCCCTGAACCTTTGAATGTGCAGATTGAAGTGAACTATACATGCATGTGTTTTTCATCAGTAAAATAAAGTTGACTGTTAGATTGTACTTTGTAGTCTAAGAATGTCCATTAAGAATAAGAGTTTTTGTAAAGGTAAATGTAGTTTTGTGTTTCATCCCTTGCCAGCACATCAAATACGCGTCTATAGTTATGTGATTGGTAAATATTACAGTGTTTAGCCGTCATTTACCGAGAAAAACCTAGATCTATTCTGTTCTATTCTGTTCTGTTTTGTTCGTGTTACGTTAAGCTATATAACTTACCAACACAATGGGTGCCATTCCCTTCATAACCCGTGATACATTGACACGTGTAGCTACCAATCGTATTCGTGCAAGTTGCCTTAACATGGCAGTTATCAGTATTGGCTGCACATTCATCGATGTCTAATATGAAACATGACAAAAAAATGTTCATTATACATGTGCATATATGACAACACCACCATCACCAAAAGCAAAACCAGCAATATAAACAGGACAACTGAAGAGAACAGAAACATCGGCAAAACAACAAAAATAACAAACCATCATCATAAAATAACCAATAAGAACAACATTAACAACAAATGCTAGCTACATAATTACAATCCTCGCAGTTCCCGCCATTTGCAAAAGGCAATTTCCACCGATAATACCGGCGAAAATGAAATTATTGACGGTAATTTTTGCCAATGTTTATCAAACACTAATACACTATTATTTATTAGTAGAATCATATAGTATACTATATGATGTTCATTAACAAGTGAATATGCATATAGAAACTCAATATTTCAGGTATCAAATAATCCTTTTGTTGTTATAACATGTATCTTCAAATTGCCCCACATCCCACCTCACCTCGACAGAAAGTTCCGTTTCCCGCATATCCTGTTCTACACTGGCAAGTAAATCCTCCAAAGGTGTTGGAACATGCGGCAAACGCGTGACAATTATGTAATCCAGAGTTGCATTCGTCAATATCTTCAAAATAAAACCAGGAACAATTTAGATTAAATAAGTACCACATAGCTATATACCTGAAAGTACTACAAATTTCCTACATTTTGCTGACTACATGTGTATAGTGAAATTTTTCAGACTAAATATTTTGTGGCGACACTTTAGCCTAAGCATATAGCCTTACTACCACATACTGCATATAGTCATTAGTATTGCATAATTCCTGTTTCTTACCTACACAAGTGCCGTTAACGAGTCTTAAGCCATTCCCACACTGGCAAATGAATGATCCTGGTGTATTAAGACAAGTTGAGAAACCTGGACAGTTGTGTGTTCCACGCGTACATTCATTAATATCTACATAGAAAATAATATATTAATAAATTAAAGCAAATTAACTGAATGTAATAGCTGGGTATATCTTCAGTATTCTGTATATGTTACGAACACATATATACTGCTTTTATCCTTTCACAATACCTATGTCAAGCACAACTTTTCTATGTTATCAAAGTAATTCGGAAAATAAAATGTTTGATTCACGCGGGAAATTTTTTCCTCTTTGGTAATCCGTTGACTAGTAATGTTCTACTGCAGAAAATGGTATATACCATAAGGTAAATTTGCCGCTTCAAATTAACAACGCTAAAAGCTGTGACCTGTATACTTCTTTCTTTCTTTACTTCCCACTTATTATAAATAGAATTGGCAAAGCAGCCATACCTATGCAAGTGACACCATTTCCTTCATAACCAGTCTCACAAGTACACACAAAAGATCCTCTTGTGTTTATGCAATTTGCGTTGACATGACAGTTGTGTGTCCCTACAGTGCACTCGCCGATATCTGTAAATTGAGAAACAGAATGTTGTCACAAAATTTGTTCGTTCGTTAGTTCGTTCGTCCGTCCGTCCGTCCGTCCGTCCGTCCGTCCGTCCGTCCGTCCGTCCGTCCGTTCGTTCGTTCGTTCGTTCGTTCGTTCGTTCGTTCGTTCGTTCGTTCGTTCGTTCGTTCGTTCGATCTGATCGTTCGTTCGTTCGTTCGTTCGTTCGTTCGTTCGTTCGTTCGTTCGTTCGTTCGTTCGTTCGTTCGTTCGTTCGTTCGTTCGTTCGTTTGTTTGTTTGTTTGTTTGTTTGTTTGTTTGTTTGTTTGTTTGTTTGTTTGTTTGTTTGTTTGTTCGTTCGGATCAATACGCTTCCTTAATCGCCTAGTGAATTTATTCATTTTTGCGGGAAAATTAATTAATCTTGCATGGACACTTAGGACTGACTGTTTGCTGGGCTTTATCTCTGGTTTTATGCGCCAAACAAGGACCAAAAGTACCACTGTTCGAATCAGCGTAAAACGTTGTATTTATGGATAGAAAATAGATTTCAAAATTGATTTCCATTCTAGCGATTTATGGCCTTTGAAAGACAAGTTTCTCAAAATAATCCTTTTCTGAATTCCTTTGTTCGAGAAAAGTTTTCTTTCCATTAGTTCAACGAAAACGAACATATAGCTTCATTAAACAAACGATCTATTCGTCGAAACGCGTAGAAACTGGCCTGCTCATTGGTAGAGAAAGCACATCATGATTCATGACTTTTCGTGTAATATTAAACGACTATTATAATCACAGTTCCACGTAACAAACGACCCAATTCTCATTGTTTGAGTCAGCACATCATAAATTTTCGCATGGCATCAACGCACACAGTCAAGATAAATCTATAATGTGATGGCATCGCACAACCCCTGACCCCTAGATCCCCTAAACCTAACTGGTGAATTGTCCCCCTACTCACTGAATTTGGGGAGTGGCCAACCATCGCATGCCTGCAGAAGTGCAGAACCTATCTCCCCTTCAAGGCCATCAGCTTCATAGATTAAAGATGATACATATTATATATTCATGTATTATACATCATTGTGTTGATGTTTCGTGCACGAATGTGCTTCTCCTTGATAGGCTAATTAATACCGTACTATTTACGAGCGTTGTAGAAACTAACTCATCGGCTAATTTCCTCACGCTTTATCATATTTTTAAACTTATTTTTCTACGCTAAGTAAAACATATAACTATATATTTAGCAAATATCAACACAGAAGAAATACTAGTTTCGATTCAGAGCGTGACTAATGTTGTCGTTGACGGCTTATAGCATACCCACGTCGTTACCTATGTTTTAAACATGTAAATTGTTCTCAGGGGCGTAAATGTGGGGGGTGAGGGGGGTTCACCCCCCAGAGAAATGATCCAGTCGGTCTCAAACTAGGTGCAGTCGGTCTCAAAATTATGCGTTTGTTTACATTCAGTGCTTTGTGAAGCAAATTAAATATTTTCGAAACTCGAGATAGACTCAGACTACTGAGTATCGAGTTGGAAATTTGCTCAAACGGATCAAACAGCTCAGAATATGAAGAAATATTACGTACTTATTTCGCGAGTTTATGAACGGATTATCATTCAAAACACGCGCAAAGGAATGAAGTTTCCATTTACTTTCCAAACATGGAGATATCTATATGTCGCGATTACGTGTTGGCACTTTTATTTGGAATTTAGGTTCTACAAGGTCGTTCACGGGTGACATTCTATATTAGCGAAAATTTCAAACCCCCAAAATCAGACTCCAAAATGAGATGAATCTCGATCAAAATATAGCTAACATTAGTTACAATATTTCTCCGGTCCCCTAAACTATATTTTTAAGATGTGAAGTGCAAAAACGAATTTCTAGCCGAGTTATATTAGGAAGTATGTTCACATGTAACACGATATGCATATGCATTTTGTTACCAAAGAGTTTTATGTGTCTACTGCAATCAAGAAATTCGATCAGTGAACGACGCACTGGTTTATCTGAAATCACGGAGCGAAAAATTGTTTCCACTGACTAGGCGATGTTTCCAATTGTTGCTTACAGTCAGGCCCATAACTAGGTATATGAGTCAAGCGAGTTCAAGTTCAATGACAGACTGTATAGTTCTCTCTATGTAAAGAAGCATTATTCTTGCCCTACAGTGACATAAGAAATGGGAGGCTGTATGGATGCACAAGTACCCCAATAACAAAAGTGCGGGCCAGCGCCCAAATATTACAACAATTGAGCACAAACACTTTTTTATTATGCACCTGATCAATGATGTTCGACCAAAAATGTAATTCTTAGCCTCAGGATTGGGGGATAACTACAGTATAAAATTATAATCATTGTGTCACTGTTTATGAAATTTTGTTTGATCTGCTCCCAGAATGCAGAAAATAGCGTTTCTAAGCCTTAGAGAATCAAACATTTTCTTTCCCCAGACCCCCCAGAAGTGTCTCGGTCAATCAAAAATCCTATAGTTACGCGCTTGACAGTTCCTGTAACATCCGCATCCGCCGGGCGCAGCTCATTCAAAGCTGAAATCAACGAAAACTGTTATGCGTTCAGTAATGAACCAGCTAGGAACGCCTCAGTGAACTCTTGACTCTTTGCGTGTGAGCGCGATCTAACAGACACGATCGATCGATTAAGCGTGGACACTTAATAAAAATATGACGTTTCACAGCAAACTGTACGTGTTCTTGCAAAATTCCTAATAAATGCCATCAATTTCCATGCTTTGTACTCAATTTTATTGCAACACACCAACTCACCAAGAGTCGGTCTGGATTCACATTTCAGTGGTGAGTCGGTCTCATTTCGTGATTACACCCTCCCAGACAATATCGATATGTCCGCCCCTGAAATTTGTTCTTGATCTGTTGTGTCCTTGCAATATAGCTTTTATAACCCAGGAAACATCTTTTTGCTCCACAAATTAGTTTTGTAACGAACTATAAGAGAAGCCTCACATATCGATTTTTCCACGAGAAACGTCATATGTTCGTTTGGGGGTGTGGGAGTTTGCAGCTGTGACGTTTCTCTGTAAATATCATGGGAAAATTCGATAGTTTTTTCGAAAGCCTTAGTTAACATTTCAAAATCATCTTTGCAGAGTATAAAAAAGAAAACAACTTGATACAAACATACATTCTATACACTTGTAATACCATACCTGTTCTACACGTATACATTTATATTATTACGCCTTCCTTGCATTGAAAACACTCAAATTTCAAGAAAACCGCGCTAAAATTATCAATATTTCATGCAAAAAAGTTGTTTTGAGAAACGTTGGAAATTTTGAAGTTCATATATATTAATAAAAAAAGATATGTCAGCAGAAGATGACATATTCCTCGCGGAAGCATCGCCAATAGCCGACCGTAGAAAATAGTACTAGATGTGTACTAGATTGAACAAAATATCGATAACTATGTGTGACGTTTCTAAGGGGGGTGCGGGGGGGAATCTCCCGAGATACGAACATATGACGTTTCTCATGGACGAAATCGATATGTAAGGCTTCCCTAAAACGGACAAGTATTATCTCGCTCCCATAATTTGTATATATTGGCGTCAGCGCTTGATCAATTAGTCGCATTTCATGCTTGACCGCCTCCCAATAAACTTCGCTCGTCCATTGCCACACTGGCATTTTATTTGCAGAAGCTGGCTTTCAGCATAGTAATAGACCAATTGCGAAACTTAGTGACCGCGCCTTAAACTGCACGAAAACGAGGCTTATTATGCAAAAACAAATCATTCTGCTATATTTTTATATGGCGAAAAATGAATTTCAGTATTTGAGACGCGTTTTTATGGTAATCTCTTCATTTTTTTTCAATATTTCTGTTTTGATTATGTAAATCTTTATTAAACTTGTTCATAGATTTAGTCTTACTTCAAATTTCATTGTTTTTCGCGGCGTGCGAGGCAAAGTTTTGCTGTTTTTCGCCGTCCGATAAAAGAAGCAGATTATACCAGAGAAAGAATCAGGTATTTTCCGTCTGTTTTATTATTACATTTCAAAGAATAAGTTGTAACATTGATTAATTTTGTTTCAGTTGTAATATAATAGCAAGTTTTCGATTTTAACTTTAAAAATATGAAAGTAAATGTCGGGCAAAATTTGTAGAAATTTTATGTTATTATCCTTTGACAAAATCTTTTTTTTCTCGCACAAGTCTAAAAAAATCTGGGTAGAAAAAGTTATATTTTAGTTTGTTAAGTTATACTGGCTATTTTATTTGCATCTTGATCAGATTTTAAAGTCTAGATTGATCTTTAATTTCCATATGTTTGTTCCATCGCATGCTAAAACAACAACGAAATATTATTATTAATGGTTTATTATTATTAATGGTTTATTATAAAAATCGTCGCGCTCGATGAAAGCGAATTGCGAAATTATTTACAAACTTTAGTTAAAAGTATTAAAAAGTACCTTGTGTCACTGGCATTATATTACAACAATAGTTTACTGATCTATGAATTAATATCGAAAGAACTTTTAAATTTACAAAATTTACAAAATTTATAAATTATGTGATTGAATACACATAGTAGGAAAAAAGCTTTTCTTAAAGCGCTCCGTCTTACAAGGAAACAGTGTTAATCTATTTCCGTACCTTAAATTACAATTGTGTCCATTGGCCCGAGAAGGTGGTATTAAATGATTAAGGCGTGAATCAGGCTGTCTGATTTTGTCAAAAGTTTTTATGCACAAACCATCACGTCTTGCGCGTAATGTCAAACATTTAGCTTGGTCCAGAGCAGCGTCATAGCTTAATGTGGGGTAGATTATTCGCATTGTGCGCTTCTGGACCCGTTCAATTTTATCTGACAAGTTAATGGTCAATGATGAATGCCATACCGGACAGCAGTACTCAAGCAGGGATCTAATAAGTGCAAAATGTACTCGTAGTAAATGAAACGGTGAAACTCCACTGCGCTTGAGAACTCGTAAGATGTGTAGTCTTTTTGATGCTTTGGTTACTATCTCACTGATATGCAAATCCCACTTCAGATTATTCTGGATCGTTATCTCTCCAAAGCGGGTAAAAATATAGTGGGAAATCGATGTTTAGATAAATTTAACAAATATTTATATAACCTAGCACGAAATATTAAGAAAAGATCAAAGAGATTCAAGAAAAAAACACTTTAAAAATCCTAAAATTCACTTTTCGCTATATATACAAAAATATAGAAATTGTCTTGTTTTTGCACAATAAGCTTCGTTCTCGTGCAGTATGAAGGCACGGCCACTAAGTTTCGCAATTGGTCTTATATTATTTAATACGATATAGCTCTCTTCTCAAAACCAGACACAGTACTAAAATGTACTATAATTAGTAAAGTTAAAGACAGTACTACAATTAGTAAAGTTATATTTAGTACACTACATTCCTCCTGTCGGCGGCAGTTGGTCCGTACGCTAGGAATAAAACTGCGCTTTAAAACCATCAAAATAAAATATTTTGAGCACAAAATACTATATATCAAAATGAAGAGAAAAGTAAGACGATTCATTTGTACGGCCGATAAAGAGAAAACCAACAATACGAAAGTTATCAAGGATCAAACGTGGCTGCATTTTTAATTAGTTTAATAATTTTGAGCGATTTGTCAACAATACAATTTCGCTTGACTTTCAAAGGTCATAAATAGCTTATCGCTAGAATATTGTTGTTTAGTAATACATTTGACATCCGTAAATACAATTTCTTAGGCCTGTTTTATATACGTCGAAATTTGCCGGGTCGCATCGAATGCAATTATACAATAGATAATGAGAAAATAAACTTCTGCCATCATCTATTGTTTGAATTGCATTCGACGCGACCGAAATTCGACGTATTTTTATCCTTATTACGCGCATAGATTAGAACCAGAGATAAGGTGCTGCAAAAAGTCAATCGTGAGAGTCCAAGATTAATAATGGTAATTGCACATTTGCACTAAGACTACGTGGAGTGCAATTTGGTCTGAAATCAAACGCGTGATTACAAAATCGGCAATTACCACTTTATTATATTCATTTTGAAATCTTAATTTTCTGAACAATTCCGTAGAACGGAAACAGTTCTTTGTTTACGAAAGACACTCCCCTGATATTTCCCTAAATGCCGTAGCGTAGCAACAAGCGAACAAGTTGAACTCAGTTTAAATCTCGAAAAGTTTTCCAAAAAAAATGAAGAAATTTATGGATACTGTGAAGACTAAAAGACAACCAATACAATTTTAAACATACTATAGGTTTATTAGCAATTTGATAGAGTTTTGGTGCGGTTTTGTTCATTCAAACATCAACAAACTGATACGATGTACGAATTACCTTGTTTTTCTATTGATTGATTGACATTTTAATTAAAACACGAGATCCATTTCACAAGTTAAAATATGTGCTCTTCAATGGAGACGTGTTACCTATACTAGAAAACTAATTTCTAATAAATAAATATCAAAATATTTACCGCAAAAGTTACAGACTACATTATATGCACAATTATTAAGAAATTTTAGATTTAAACTCAGCAAGAGATTGAGCTCTAGCGAGTTCGACGGGTATGCTGTAATAATCAAAGTGTGGCTGTATTAAAGAGTTGTAAATCAAGACAAGAGTTGACTTTTGGTAGTACTGGTTTTAGAGAGGCCAAGAGATCGTTCTTCTGGGATAGTAATTAATGTTTGTCTGGATGCAATAAACATACATTTAGTTTTAATTGCAATCATTATGGGCGGCTGTTACCACCAAAAATACTACACGTGTGAAATAAATGGACATAAATTCATTACAAACACGAACGAGTCATCATGTTTAGGAATGTTTGAACATAGCGTAGTGATATGACTGGACAAGACCAGAAATGATTTGTTTATTGAAACGATTCACTTGATTGTGTATTCATTCGTCTATTATTGCGCTGATTCATATAGTTCCTGTGATAGTTCAAGTGAAATGGCTTGGCATATTTTGCAATGACTTAGCGGGTCATATACAAGTGACACGTTCGGTTGGCAAATAATTCATGCTTTTTTAGAACCACCCGCTGTGTTTTAAAATAGCTTAACTAGATATGAAATGATTCAACTAGATGGGACGTGATTCAACCTGATGTGAAATAAATAAACTAAATGTGAAACGACTCAATGCAATGTGAAATCACTCAATTAAATGCGACATCGTTCAACTAGATGTGATTCAGACTTAGTTTATTTAAGTTAAGCAAGTTGTGGAGAGTTTTAAGATCATCATTTAGAACAGAGATTACTGATTAGATTAACTTGTCTGGCTCGTTGTCGAATAATGAATAAATGCCCATCCATGATACCAATTCACTATTAGGTAGGTGAAGGTCGTTTATGTACTACTTAAAACATGAGCAGCAGTGTTTTATCAGATGTAAAGATACGAGGTGAAGCCGAGTATCTTTAGGTCTGATAAAACACGCACTGCGAATGTTCCAAATTGCTTTAAAAACGATCGATCTGTAGTAAGTTCATTGACGAAGTAAGTTTTAAACAATACGTTGTGTAAGTAGAGAAAATCAAAGTTAAAGTTCATGTAAATCAAGGGAAATCTCTATCACATATAAAGACACAACACGCATATGATTTTTCTTTGTGTTTTCCTCATGAATTATTGAGTTTTTGAAATATATTAGGAATAGTAGTGGACCTAGGATAGACCCCTGAGGAACACCACATGTTACTTTACGAGTATCAGACCGTATGTTGTTAATAACTGTTATATTTGTGCACGATCAGAAAGATAGTTTCTAAAAAGATGAATTGTTTTATTATTAATTATAGCCATAACAAGTTAACTTCTGTAGCAAAATGTTATGACAATGGTATCAAAAGCCTTTTACAAATCCGTGAATAAGATAGCATTAAATAACCCACCTGCACTGTCCATATTTGTGTACCATTTATCAGTGGCACCAAGCATAGCTGTTAACGTTGAATGAATGGTGCTCAATTATATTAAGCGAACATCCGAACTCCACGTATTGAGGGAGTTTTGTTTCCTAACTTTGTGAGTTTAATGGACCGAACTTTTACAACGAATTACAACAATATATGAACATTTGTTTTGGAGTTTAATATGGGTAGTGTCGAGTCCTTTCTAAAATATTGAATATTTGACAATAGATTTCGACAGGGCCGTTTCTAGACGCGATAATTCATGTTCACATACCGTAAAAACAATCGCTTTCAAAAGAAATCCGTTGGGCAGAACACGAATGTATGAATACCCCCCCCCCCACAACCACCCCCATCCCAACCCAATTATCGCGCTAGGAACGGCCGTGAATTTCGAAACAGTTATTGCAAGGAATAATAATTTATAGAAACGCGGAAGTAACAGATTAGCGGTTAACAATTAATGCACGGTTTACTTCGTTATTTAAGCTGAGATACCTTTCTTCCGGGTTAGGATAAAACGCGGATACGGACGGACGGATGGATGGCGGACGGACGGACGGATGAGTTGCTGACGGACGGATGGATGGATGGCTTTCAAAAAACTTTTTCAGCCTTTTTTAGTCATATAATATATTTGGTCCAAAAAAGTTTTTCAGCCCTTTTTAAGTCATATCCGCGTTTTATCTAAAAGGATAAAACGCGGATATGGTCCAAAAAACGTTTTTCAGCTCTTTTTAAGTCATATCCGCGTTTTATCTAAAAGGATAAAACGCGGATATATGATCCAAAAAACGTTTTTCAGCCTTTTAAGTCGTATCCGCGTTTTATCCAAAAGGATAAAACGCGGATATGGTTCAGAGAATGTTTTTCAGCCCTTTTTAAGTGAAAGGATAAAACGCGGATATGGTCAAAAGAACATTTTTCAGCCCTTTTTAAGTCATATCCGCGTTTTATCCAAAAGGATAAAACGCGGATATGGTCCAAGAAACGTTTTTCAGCCTTTTTTAAGTCATATCCGCGTTTTATCTAAAAGGATAAAACGCGGATATGGCCAAAAGAACGTTTTATAAGGGCATATCTATATGAATAAAGAATATTGTCCCAGAATTTGAACAACAAAAAAATCAATGTCGCTGCGAGATAAGAGTTCTAAAATTACAATTTAGTGTTAATAAATTTTAAATTTAGTGTCAGTTATCTGGTATATGCAGTACTCCAATTTTATGCCAACGTAATGTGCTGTCGTTCAAAGGCTTTTCAATGCAGTTATCGGTTTAAATGTACCTATACAATTCCCGCTAAGAAATGACAGTTTCCGCGTATACGGTCTACTTTTACTTAAACACAATTACAATTGCAACTTTCATGCTTAATTTTCTCTGTTATCTGGGTATATGTAGTAATCTAATTTTATGCCAATGTTTTCAAGGGCTTTTCAATAAAGTTATCGGTTTAAATATATCTAAAATTCCTGTTACGATATGACAATTTCCGTACGACTTACTTTTACGCAAGCGCAAATTAGCGACAATTGTCACAGGGGGTCCAACTAAGAGCTGTGTTATGAATATAAATAAAACATAACGTAATATATTTAAATTATTGCACTTACTTGTATAAATCATAAGAGCTTGCTGTATTTGCAGTGAATAGCTTTTAACAGGGCGCTTATATACGCTCAGAAAATCGCTCAGAAACATTTTGATTCGAACGATTGTTCAAATATGGCGAATAAATTGACAAAACGAAAATATTACATGACGTTCCAACGAAAGTAACAGCAAGGATTGCGGGCGCGCGAAAAGGCGAGGGAACTCAGGGAAGAAATAAATAGAAGGGATGAAACAAATATCACGTGACTTTTTAAAATGCTTCTAGACTATCCGTTTAAGCTTTTTGTGGGGTTTTTAAGGCTCAGTCGATGTTCTCTTACATGAACAAGCCTAGTCATTACCAAAAAAGCACTGATCAATCTAATTTATGTGATTTATAACAGCGAGGATTCTTGGCCATTATCGCGAGATGTGTTCCATAAGTAGCCTGTTCTCGTGACGTATGACGAAATAATAATAAAACTAAATAATGTAAAAAAAAACGTTGGTCGCTACATTTAAACATTTCATATTAGCCGGTATAGCTAAACATTGTTTATTTTCATTAATTAAGCGCTTAGGCGTTGTTGGAGTTGGCAGGAGGCGTTTTGGAATTTTCCGAGAGAACAGGCTCCTTATGGAACACATCACACGATCGCATTACCGGTGTTTCATCCCTTCTATTAATATCTATTACCCTCGCCTTCCGCTCGCGCCCGCAATCCTTGCTGTTATTTTCGTTGGAACGTCATGTAATATTTTCGTTTTGTCAATTTATTCGCCATATTTGAACAATCGTTCGAATCAAAATGTTTCTGAGCGATTTTCTGAGCGTATATAAGCGCCCTGTTAAAAGCTATTCACTGCAAATACAAGCTCTTATGATTTATACAAGTAAGTGCAATAATTTAAATATATTACGTTATGTTTTATTTATATTCATAACACAGCTCTTAGTTGGACCCCCTGTG